CAGGTACTCATCCATGCCTTTCAAGTAGAATTGTAACCCATTATCCAAATAATATACCATAACTAGGGCTCATGGGAAATGGTAAGAAAGAAGACAAAAAGGAAAGAGAATCCAGCATGAACAACAATGAGTTCACGTGGTTGAGCCAGTAGGATTGTCTTGAAGTGAATGATGAAAGCATCAATTTTCTTAAGAATGGAAAGAAGATCCTTGTCATACACAAACAAAGATAACAAAAAACGATACTAACATGCGTAGTATACTGCTATGAAGCAGCTGATTTGACTGGAACCCATAACTCCAATATGCTAGTTATAACCAGCCGGTCTTAGCACAAAGTTGTGTCTTTGGGGCTAACCGCTTCAATATTCACAGTTTAAAATAACTACCACTCTGTGGAACCAAAAATGAAAAAATGTTGTGAGAAATTATTCATGAATATACCTTAGCTACTTTTTCTTCTTGTGTTGTATGGAAGTGCACTAGTTGTGATATGAATGCACTTTGACAAGTTATGACATCGCTCTGACAGAGTCTTGTAACTGGTCCAGAAAGTATATGTTGGGCAAACGACGTGAACACTTCACTGTAGCAATCGCTGAAGAGAACGACTTGTGGATTTCCAGATATAGTTTCCCTGACAGAATTAAGTTTATCCACGAAGCCAAGATCTAGGAAGGTGTTGAATACATCAAGTACCTACAAGAAACAAAGGAATACATAAATTTTAGATAGATAAATAGCAATAACAAACACAAAAACAACAACATAAAGATTCTTTTACAAGTAATTTCACTTATGAAAGAAGGGATTATGAATAAAATACCTTATTTAAAAATATATAATAAAATTTTTGACCTAGAGCAATCAACAAAATAATAACCAGATAGAACGGCAAGCATGCTTAAAAAATCTAGATGCCAGCCAGAGAATGATTAGATACTTGTGAATATATTTTAATATAAAGAAAATTATGAAGCATGAGTGCAATAGATTTGAAAACACAAAATGTGCTTACCAATAGTGATACGCCAGAGATGTCAATTGCCTTGAGGGAAACAAGTTCCAGCAACCTCTCTGGAGTAGATACAAGAAACTCAGGCTCGCAACTTCTCAAACTGTACTAAGAAAAGTGGCAGTTAGTAGTAATTAACTGATGACCTTATGTAGAAAGAGGGACAAGTTGCAAAACACTAGAAACAACAAATTTGAAAGCATGATTGAATTCCTAAAGTGCAATAAGACAGTAAAAAGAAAAATCATTTTCAAGTGGCATGAGTGGCACCATACTTTTCAAGCAAAATTCACAGATACGATGTCATAGTTCTTGATAGCTACTGAACAAATATGTGCTGAATTCCTGCTGTAAACAACATATCCAACATTACAGGAGTATTCATTCAATAATTAAGAAAATCAAGGCATATGCAACTTGTTAAACTTGTAGCCAATAATGAGTCATCTTGGAAGAAAACTTAATGAAGTCTTCTCAAATATATCCGTAACACCCATAATGCTAACAACAACTGAATGGATCTTCTATACATGAAAGCAAACATGCAAAAGCTCTCCATATCCCATTATGACATCCAATATTCACAAGATAGATGATGCATTTGTATATTTCTTAGAAATTCAATTCTTCAATGAAACAATTCTTCAATTAAAATATATACGGATACATTTGATTCAATATATTTATTTTTATATATGTTAATAAAATATTTTATTTTTTGCAGTGGCATATAAGTCTTTTTTTATTACAGAGTTGAAAGAGAAGAAAACATTATTGCATTTGCTATCATCTCATCCCCTTATCATGTGCTCCCACACCATCGCCTTCATTCTCTCTAGCTAATATCCTCTCCTTCTATCACCCCGGTCCATACTCTCACTTCTGATGTCATCATCTCACCTCCATTTTCCTCTTGCACTACCATCCACTTTCATTGCAGCGCTCATTGTAGTCATTTGCCCTCTATCTCTTGTCATCGATCTCTCCTATTATCAACTTCTCTCCTTTGGACTCTTGTAACTCCCCTCTTTTTTCTCAATTCTCCCTCTCGTCATCGCCCAACTCCTATAAGAATTCACACTTTTATGTTTGCTCGACCAATGAGTTATTTGGATTCATCAGGTCATTTCACACATATTTCTGTTATATTTATTATTTTAAAATTTTAAATTTTAAAATTTAATTTTTTTTATCAAACCTAGTTCAACC